GTATTTGCTGAGTCTTTATGTTTTTCTTCTTCTTTTTTTTTTTTTTGATGTATAGGATTGTTAGTTTCCTTTGTGGTTACCTTAAAATTTGCCTCTATTTTTCTACATTTAAACCAATCTTTTATTTCTTGAGATCACCTTAACTTCCTCTCCATAAAAAACTTCTATGACTGCACTATTTAGTCCCTCTTTTTTGTTTTAATGTTGTCAGCTTTTACGTATCGACATTCATGTTTCCCTATTTTCAGTGTTTTAGCTTTGACTTATTTCTATGACTTCCCTATCTGGGTTGATATCTGGTTGTTCTGTCCTGTGTTCTAGTCTTGGGTTGTTATCTGATACTATTGATTCTCTAACCGGAGGACTCCCATTAGTATTTCTTGTAATTTCGGTTTGGTTTTTACAAATTCCCTTAACTTCTGTTTATCTGAAAAAGCCCTAATTTTGCCTTCATATTTGAGAGATAGTTTTGCTGGATATATAATCCTTGGCTGGCATTTTTTTTCCTTCAAGGCTTTATATGTGTCATCCCATTGCCTTCTTGCCTGCATGGTTTCTGCTGAGTAGTCAGAGTTTAATCTTGTTGACTCTCCTTTGTAGGTGACTTTTTGTTTATCCCTAGCTGCTCTTGAAATTCTTTATTTTTGGTTTTGGTAAGTTTGATTATAATATGTGTTGGTGACTTTCTTTTCGGATCTACCTTGTGTGGGGTTCGATGAGCCTCTTGGATAGATATCTTCTCATCTTTCATGATATTAGGGAAGTTTTCTGCCAGTAAATCTTCAACAGTTCTCTCTGTATTTTCTGTTATCCCCCCGTTTGGGTACTTCAGTTTCACCATTGTATTTTGGAGACAGATAGCAGGTAGTCTAGATTGCACAGGTTCACACATGAAGAGGAATTTTGCCCCAGGATGGGATATGCCTAAGTCTCACCCATATTTGATTTAGATGGTTCAGAAGATGAAATTTTGGATTTGGAGTGATTTAAGATTTTTGGGATGATGTGACGGGGTGAATGTGTTTTGCATGTGGCAAGGACATTGAATTTTGGAGGGGAAAAGGGTGGAATGTTTTGGATTTAATTGTGTCCCCCAAAAATATATGTTATAAATTCAATATCTGTGCCTGTGGCTATAATCCCATTTGGAAATGAGTTGTCTTTTTATGTTAATGAGGCAGGATTAGTTTTGGGTGTATCATGAGTCACTTTCTTTTGAGATATAAAAGAGATTAAACTAGGAAGACAGAGGAGTTGAGGTAGGGGAAGAAATACACAGAGTCACTGTACCAAAAAGAATTGGTCAATAGTCAACTGTTTCAGGAGGTAGCATATGATCAAGATCCAATGGTATTGATGGAAGAAGTCCAAGCTTCACTGAAGGCACTGGTGAAAAACAAGCCTCCAGGAATTGATGAAATACCAATTGAGATGTTTTAACAAATGGATGCAATACTGGAAGCTCTCACTTTTCTATGCCAAGAAATTTGGAAGACAGCTACCTGGCCAACCGACTGGAAGAAATTCATATATGTGACCAACCCAAAGAAAGGTGATCCAACAGAATACAGAAATTTTCTAACAATGTCAATATCACACACAAGGAAAATCTTGCTGAAGATCATTCAAAAGCAGCTGCAGCAGTACATCCACAGGGAACTGCCAGAAATTCAAGTCAGATTCAGAAGAGGATGTGGAATGAGGGATATCATTGCTGATGTCAGATGAATCCTGGCTGAAAGCAGAGAATAGCAGAAAGATGTTTACCTGTGTTTTATTGACTATGTAGAGGCATTTGACTGTGTGGATCATAACAAATTATAGATAACATTTCGAGGAATGGGAATCCCAGAAAACTTAATTGTGCTTACGTGGAACCTGTATATAGATCAAGAGGCAATCGATCAGACAAAGCAAGGGGATTCTGTGTGGTTTAAAATCAATTAAAGTGTGGATCAGCATTGTATCCTTTCATTATACTGATTCAATCAGTATGCTGAGTAAATAATCTGAGAAGGATGTGGCATGAAGATTGGAGGAAGACTCATTAACAACCTGTTATATGCAGATGCACAATTTTGCTTGTGAAAAAGAGGATTTGAAGCATTTACTGAGGAAGATCAGAGACTACAGCCTTCAGTATGGATAACACCTCAACACAAAGAAAACAAAAATTTTCACAGCTGAACCAATGAGTAACATCAAGTTGTCAAGGATTTTACTTGGAACCACAATCATCCTCCATGGAAGCAGCTGTGAAGAGATCAAACGACATATTGCACTTGGAAAATCTGCTGCAAAAGACCTCTTTCAAGTATTAAAAAGCAAAGATGTCATCTTGAAGACTAAGGTGCACCTGACCCAAGCCATGGTGTTTTCAGTTGCCTCATATGCATGCAAAAGCTGGACAACGAATAAGGAAGACCGAAGAATTGATGCCTTTCAATTATGGTGTTGGTGAAGAATATTGACTATACCATGGACTGCCAGAAGAACAAACACATCTGTCCTGGAAGAAGTACAGCCAGAATGCTCCTTAGAAGCAAGGATGGTGGGACTATGTCTCACATACTTTGGACATGTTATCAGGAGGGATCCGTTCGTGGAGAAGGACACCATGCTTGGTAAAGTAGAGGGTCAGTGAAAAAGAAGAAGACTGTCAACGAGATGGATTGACACAGTGGCTGCAACAATGGGCTCAAGCATAACAACAATTGTGGGGATGGCGCAGGGCCGGGCAGTGTTTTGTTCTGTTGTACATAGAGTCACTGTGAGTCAGAACTAACTCAATGGCACCTAACAACAATAACATGTGCATGTGAAAGCTGGACAATGAATAAGAAAGACCAAAGAAGAATTGACAACTCTGAATAATGGTATTGGTGAAGAATATTGAATATACCATGGACTGTCAGAAGAACAAACAAAAATCTGTCTTGAAAAGAATACAGCCAGAGCACTGATTAGAAGCGAGGATGGTGAGACTGCCTCATGTACTTCGGACATGCTATCAGGAGGGACTAATCCCTGGAGAAGGACATCATGCTTGGAAAAGTGGAGGGTCAGTGAAAAAGAGGAAGAACTTCAAGCAGATGGATTGACACAGCAGCTGCAACAATGAGCTCAAATATAGCAACGGTTGTGAGGATGGTACAGGACTGGGTAGTGTTTAGTTCTGTTGTACGTAGGGTCACTATTAGTTGAAATGGACTCGATGGCACCTAACAACAACAGGCCTCCTAAACTCTGAGAAAATAAATTTGTTCTTTAAAGCCACTCACTTGTGGTATTTCTGTTATAGCAGCACTGGATAAGTAAGACAAACACCATCAACGATCTTAACCTAACTGACATTTAGTGAACGGTCCACCCAACAACAGCATAAAACATATTATTTCTAAGTGCTCATTAAATTATTCAGCAAGATAGACCGTATTCTGGGTTATAATACAAACTTAAACAACAGAATAGAATGAATGAATAAATGAATAAGAAAAATTGTGGTATATTCATCCACTGGAATAAAACATAGCTACAAAAAAATAAGAAATTACTGCTATGTGCAACAGCATAGATAAAATTTCACAGATATTATGTTGACTAGATGAATTCAAACATAATATACTTCATACAGTATTATTCCAATTATATGAAGTCCAAGCATGGACAAATCTTTCTCCGGCAATAACAGTTAGAACACTGGTTACTCCTAGGGTGAATATCAACTGGAAAAAGCTCAGGAGGGAATTTTCTTGTGTGCTGGGAAATTCCCCTAACTTGATCTCAGAGGTTATATGAGTGAATATCCAGATGTAAAAATTCATTGTGTTGTACACTTAAGATTAGTACACATTATGCACCACTTTATTATATGCATGTATATAGAGGAAAAAGTAAAAACTGTTTATAATTGTCATTTTCAAAGGAACTTCGCATTTTACCCACTGGCTTGCAGAACGACTGGTATCTTTCTGCCTCTCACCCTGGAAAACTCCTCTCTCCAGGGTCCTCTGCACTTGGAGAGATCAGGCTGGGTTTGCACGATCTGTACCCTGCTCCTAGGGAACCAAACCCAAACCAGTTGCCTTAAAGAGATACCTGATATGCAAGAGACGACAACCCATGAAACAGAAGCCAGACTAGAGACTTCAGCAATTCTAAAGATTTGGAAATATTTATGAGAAACAAATTATTTCTTTAAAGAACATAGTAAAAATTTTTCAATTTTCTAAATACGCAAATACCAACTTTCTCTGCTCCCTACCAGTATCTTTGATTACTGAAACCCGCCTTTCAGTTCATATGTGCTTTTAAGATAATCTAGGCGTTTCTCTATAGAGGAAATAAGGATAGCAGAGGCCAGATTCCAAATACCCAAATACAAGGGGGAGCCACTGAACCCCACGGTCACTAGGTAGAGCCCTTTAAGTTCACGCACGGAACCCCTCCACTGAGGCACCAAACGTCCCAGAAACCGGAAGCGGAAATGTGCATCCTCCAGTTGGCAGCCACGTTTGGTTGCACTCCTTTTCTGGTGTGCGGTATGTTTTGCCTCTGTCGCTGGTTGACTTGATCCATTACCAGGTGACCCGCAGGCTCCTGTCCAGGAGTCTAAGAATTTTGCGCCCGCTCTCCTGCGCGCTCCTGGTCTCTGTGCCCTCCTAGAGCCTCCGGACTTCCGCTAGTCCGTGGAGCCGCCAAGGCCTTATCGTTTCCTCCAAGAGCCCGGCCCACTGGGCCGGAGCTGCTTTCTGGACGGCCGCGTAGGTGGGGTGGACCTGTGCCTCTTGGGGCATTAACAGGTAAAAATCGTGTGAATTTTCGTTAAGCAGAAGTGTGGTTTTCAGACCAGTAGCGACAGCTTCACTTGGGAGTTTGTGAAAAATGCAGAGTCACGGGCCTCATGGATGCCCAGCGTAGTTAGGTTGAGTCTAAATGCCCTGCTCCCATCCTCTCCAGTTTGCTGCTCCGCTCACCATGTTCCCTTTTGTTTCCTGTTCTTTTTTTTTTTATAAGCTACCCTCAGCCATACTCTTCAGCCTCATCTGTTACTACTCCCTCGCACACACACACACACACACACACACACACACACACACACACACACACACACTCTCTCTATGGTCACGTTGAGCTCCTCATTAGGCCACAATCACCCCTCGGTCTGTATGTATATTTACCACTTAATGAGCCGTTTCAGAAGGGCTAGGCACTGTGCTAAGTATATACTGCATTTTATTTACAAAAGAACACTGTGAGGTAGGGAGTATTTGCGGCATTTTACAAAAGTAATAATCTTGGAGAAATTAAATATCTGGCCCATGGACAAATATTTAGTAATTGTCAGTGTCTGAACTCAAATTAAGGTCTGTTCTTACTTCAAGGGGCATATTCTTGATCACAATTTCCCTGCCGGAAATGGCTCATTTTCTGTGCTTCATTAGATTGGACTTTTGTTGAGTATTGCTGGTCATATAAAAATTAATATTCTGGTGAGGAATATAGCCCCCCTCTTTAATTGTTATTGATATTTAAGACAGATGAAGAATTAAGAAAGAAGTTAGAACTAGTACGTACATCTAGGACCATATTTATCCTAATTTCAGGAGTAAAATATTTAGTCAGAGGCATATTTCGAGGAATTTCTTTGGCTAGAAGGCAGAAATTGTCATCATGAGTCTGTGAGAAACAATACACCCAGCACTAGTTCTTCTGATGTAAAATGTGATTTTACTGAACAAGCTTAATATAGGCAGTGAGGGATTTATGAGCTCAGATTGAATGTGCTGTGGGGTACCAGAAGAACGAACAACTCTATTTTGGAAGAAGTACAGCTAGAGTGGTCCTTGAAAGCAAGGATGGTGAGACTTCATCCCACATACTTTGGACATGTTATCAGGAGAGACCAGTCCCTGGAGAACAACATTATGCTTGGTAAGGTAGAGGGTCAGCTAAAAAGAGGAAGACCCTCAACGAGATGGATTGACAGTGGCTACATCAGTGGGCCCAAACATAGCAATGATTGTGAGGCTGGTGCAGCACCAGGCATTGTTTCCTTCTGTTGTATGTAGTGTGGCTATGAGGTGGAGCTGACTTGACAGCACCTAACAAAAACAGCAACTAATGGCATCGAGCATCTTTTCATGTGTTTCTTGACCATTTATATATCATCTTTGGTGAAATGTCTATATACACATTTTGCCCATTTTTAAAGTGGTTTGTATGTCATTGAGTGGTAGGAGTTTTTTTTATATATCTGGCATTCTAAACCCTTATGAGATATATGATTCCCAAAACCAGTAAAATCTGCGAAAGCCGAAACCTGTGTAAGGTGAAAACCTGTCAGAGAAGGAAAGCTCAAATATTTTCCACTAAAACAAGCAATAGAATCGTGGTAAGACCGTATCCTGTCAAAGGTAGAAAACTTGCAAGACCCGGAAAAACAAGACAGTCCTGTTGAGTTCCGGCTCTCACAGGTTTCACTGTATTGTCTCAAATTTGATAGGTTGTCTCTTCACTTTGTTGACGAAGGCCTTTCGTGCACAAGATTTTTAATTTATCTGTTATTGCTTGTGCTTTTGTTATCATACCTAAGAATCCATTGTTGAAAACTAGTGTGTGGAGAAAATAAATGTTCTTATTTTTTTTAATTGTGAAAATGTTGCATGTGTCCAAAAGTTCAAAAATGCATAGAGTAAAAATGATCATTAAACACCACTTGTAATCTCAACATCGGTAGAGAAATGTGGTGCCTGTTGTTTTTCTCATTCCTTCCCTAAAGATATTCTAAAACAAGCCACTGCTGTTGCATTGATTCAGCCTCATAGTGACCCTGTAGGACAGTAGAACTGCCCATAGTGTTTCCAGGGCTGTGAATCTTTACGGACGCAGACTGCCACATCTTTCTCCTGTGGAACACCTGGCGAGTTCAAACCACCAACCTTTTGTTTAGCAGCTGAACAGTTAACCACTGCCCCATGAGGGTTCATAGATATTCTAAAAGTACTCTTTGGACTGGAGTTCCCCTTGGATACACGACTGGTAATGTGGTCACTTCATGTCAAATTCAAGCCTTCATTCAAAACTACTGAATTGTCCTAGTTCAGAATCTAAGAATTGCTCTTCAGATAATACCACAGTATCAACACAGATTTCCTAAAGGCCTAATACATGCCAGAATCTGTGCTCTTCCTTTCCTTTAGCTTGAAGCTCCAGAAGTGGGAATGGAGCCTATTTCAGAGGTCACAGTTTGATTCTTTGTGGCCAGGAGGAGACAACCTACAGGTTGTGATATCGGTTCTTGGGTACCACTGGACTCAGACACCAAACCCTTCCCATAGTACACCTGGGACACTGAGGAACCTATGGCTCTGAAACCTAACATGTCCAAGACAGAGCTTTTAAAATCTCACTTGAGCAAATCTCACTTGGCTTTCCTAGGCAGTGTCATCAGTATCCATTCACTGTTGTTGTTAGGTGCCGTCAAGTCTGTTCCTACTTTCGCGACCCTGTGTATAACAGAACAAAATACTGCCTGGTCCTGCAACATCCTCACAATCTTAGCTATGTTTGAGCCCATTGCTGTAGCCACTGGGTCAACCCATCTCGTTGAGGGTCTTCCTCTTTTTCGCTGAACAGCTACCTTACCAAGCATGATGTCTTTCTCCAGGGACTCTCCTGATTACCTGTTCAGGTCCTTCTGGAGCACATGTCCAAAGTACTTGAGATGAAGTCTTGCCATCGCCAGTCACTTCCAATGAGCACTCTGGCTGTACTTCTTCCAAGACAGACTTGTTCATTCTTCTGGCAATCCATGTTATATTCAGTATTCTTCACCAACACCATAATTTAGGGCATCAGTTCTTCGGTCTTCCTTGTTCATTGTCCTGATTTCCCAAGAAATGAGGTGACTGAAGATGTCATGGCTGGGTCAGGCGCACCTTAGTCTTCAAAGAAACATCATTACTTTTCAACGCTTTAAAGAGGGCTTTTGCAGCAGATTTGCCCAATACAGTATGTCGTTTGATTCTTTGACCTCTGCTTCCACAGGTCTCGATTTTGGATCCATGTAAAATGAAATCCTTGACAACTTCAGTATTTTCTCCTTTATCTTGATGTTGCCTATTGGTCCAGTTGTGAGAATTTTTTTATGTTGAGGTGTAATCCGTACTGAATCCATACTTTGATCTTCATCCTTAAGTGCTTCAAGTCCTCTTTCACTTTCAGCAAGCAAGGTTGTGTCATCTGCATAGCTCAGGTTATTGATCATTCTTCCACCAATCCTTATACCGCATTCTCTTTCATATACTCCAGCTTCTTGGATTATTTGCTCAGCATACAGACTGAATAAGTATAGAGAAAGGATATAACCCTGACGCACATCTTTCTTAATTTTAAACCACACAGTGTCCCCTTGTTCTATTTGAACAACTGCTTCTTGGTCTATGTACAGTGTCTTCATGAGCAGAATTAAGTGTTCTGGAATTCCCATTCTTTGGTATGTTATCCATAATTTGTTGTGATCCACAGTCGAATGCCTTTGTGTAGTCAATAAAACGTAGGTAAACATCTTTCTGGTATTCTCTGCTTACAGCCAACATCCATCTGACATCAGCAGTGATATCTCTCATTTCCCGTCCTCTTCTCAATCTGGCTTGAATTTCTGGCAGTTCCCTGTCGATGAACGGCAGCAACCACTTTTGAATTATCTTCAACAGAATTTTACTTGAGTGTCATATTAATGATATTGACAGTTTCTGTATTTTGTTGGATCACTTTTCTTTGGAATGGTCACAAATAGGATCTCCTCCAGTAGGTTGACCAGGTAGCTGTCTTCTGAATTTCTTGGCACAGATGAGTGAGTGCTTCCAGCGTTTCATCCATTTGTTGAAACATCTCACTTGGTATTCCATCAATTCCTGGAGCCTTGCTCTTTGCCAATGCCTTCAGTGCAGCTTGGACTTCTTCCTTCAGTATCATTGGTTCTTGATCATATGCTGCCTCCTGAAAAGCTTGAACATCGACCAATTCTTTTTGGTACAGTGACTGTATATTTCTTCATTTTTTTTGATTCGTGTGTCATTCAGTATTTTACTGATAGAATCATTCAAAATTTTAACTTGAGGCTTCAGTTTTTTCTTCAGTTCTTTCAGCTTCAGAAATACTGAGCGTGATATTCCCTTTTGGTTTTCTAACTCTGTAGTCTTATACTATGTTACTTGGTCTTCTTCAGCCCCCCTTTGAAGACTTCTGTTCAGTTCTTTTACTTCATTATTTCTTCCATTTCGCTTTAGCTACCCTGTGTTCAAGAGCTAGTTTCAGAGTCTCTTCTAACATCCATTTTGGTCTTTTTTGTCTTTTTAATGACCTTTTGCTTTCTTCATTTATGATGCCCTTGATGTCATCCCACAACTCGTCTCGTGTTTGGTCATTAATGTTGAATGGTCAAATCTATTCTGGAGATAGTCTCTAAATTCTTGTGGAATATACTTAAGGCTGTTTTTTGGCTCTCGTAGACTTGTTTTAATTTTCTCCAGCTTCAACTTGAACTTGCATATGAGCAACTGATGGTCTGTTTTTTAGTCAGGGCCTGGCTTTGTTCTGACTGATAATATTGAGCTTTTCAGTCGTCTCCACAGATATAGTTGATATGATTCCTATTTTCTCTCCAGTGAGGTCCACATGTATAGTTGCCATTTATGTTGTTGAAAAAAGGTATTTGCAGTGAATAAGTCGTTGGTCCACAGAAATCTATCATGCTATCTATGGTGTTGTTTCTATCAACAAGGCCCCATTTTCCAACTACCAATCCTTCGTTTCCAGCTTTCGCACTCCAATCCCCAGTAATTACCAGTGCATCTTGATTGCATGTTTGATCAACTTCAGACAGCAGAAGTTGGTAAAAATCTTCAATTGCCTCACCTTTGGCATTAGTGATTAGTGTGTAAATTAGAACAATAGTCGTATTTCCTTGTAGGCATATGGATATTATCACTGACGGTGTTGTACTTTAGGATGGATTTTTTTTTAATGACATTTTAAACTTTTATATAGTCTAGAAGATACATATCTAACCACATATTTATAAGCCACACTCTTTAAAATGTACTGAACAATTAGGAAAGCTCCAAAATCTAAATCATAAACACAGTATAATTTATTCTGTATCAGAATAGGTAAAACCAAATAGTATACTGTCTTTTGTATTTCGTACATTTTAATTATTATGCCGAAATATGCTAATTTAACATTAAATTAAAATAAACTTCTAAATTAATTATTTTTAAAAAATGTCAGGTACATGATTAAGATAAGCTTTTTTTCATCAGAAAAAAAAATTTAGAGTAAACAAAGATATTGCAAATACGTCCAAAATTGTAGGTCTTCATATTTACTTTCTTAGACCATTCGGGTTTTTTTTTTTTGGTCCTTTGAAACCGAGAAGGCCCTGCTTCTCGTGCTCCTTCTAACAGTTCTGCTGATCTCCAGGCTGCTCCAGGGATGGTCCTTTTCTTTTCTTGGAGGAATAGAGATGTAGATACTTTGGCCTATTTCCTGCCTGAAGAATTCCAAGAAGCAGACAGCATTCTTTCCTTTTATTCTTTCTCTGTCCCCTTAAGGCTAAGCTGACGGGTTTTCTGCTGTGATAGGTGGTTAGAGCCATCAGTCACAGGCTTAATCTTTTTAACAGAAGATTTCAGGATAGATCTTAAAGTGATCTTTTTGACGATGAATGCAATGCCATTCCTCTTCAAGTTGTTGTTTCCAGCGTAGTAGAACATAAGATTGTCCAATTCACAGTGGCCAATGCAAGTTAATTTTAGCTCACTAATCCCTAGGATATCGATGTTGATGCTTTCCATTTCATTTTTGATGATGTCTTGGGCTGGGTTCTCTAGAGAAGCAAAACCGGTAAAGTGTATAAATATATATATATATATA